TAGGGCTGCCAGCCCAGAAAAGACCCCCACCCCACAGAACGACTTGACTCCTGACCAAGTTCCTACCCCAGAGGAGGTTTCTTCTGTGGATGAGGCCCCCAGCCCGGAAGTCCCACCTGAAGAAGAAGCCCCTGGTCCAAAGATAGCCCATCCTGGGGAGGAGGCCTCCACCCTGGACGAGATCCTAACCCAGGATCAGGTGCTCTGTGAGGAGGCCCCCTGCAGGCCACACAATAACCACCTGCATGGTTTCTCCCCAGAGGGGACCCTGCAGGAGGCTACATCCCATGTGCCTGAGGATGCCCCACCCCAAGAGCCCGGCCTCCTGCCAGAAGAGCCCCTGTTACAGGCCCCCTGCCCCGAGCCTATCTGTGGCGAAATGAAACCCCACCTTGGTCCACTCCAGCCTGGGTCCACGCCAGCCCCTGACAAGGCCCACCCCCAGGAAGGGGCCTCAACTCTCCTGCAGGAGGAACCCCCTCCTGCCGAAGGGGAGGCTCCCCAGAAAGAGGAGATGGCGCCAAAGGAGGAGACCCCCTCCAAAGAGCAGACTTCACCCGAAAAGGAAGCCACTTACCAAGGAGAGGTAGTACCCCCCAGTGAATCAGGAGTCACTGCCCCAAAGAAGCCACATTCCATCAAGCCGACCCCAGGAGCCCGAGAGACCCCCTCCCTCCAGTCTCTGGCCCCACAAAACCCTACAGCAGGCATGGAGGACAGAGGCGGCGTCGGGAGGCTGGTGGACGAGGTGGCGGCTCTGCGGAGGTCGCTGGACCTGATGAGGACGCAGTTGGAGTAAGCGGAAGAGGGAGCCTTGGGGAGGAGGGGGGCTCCAGCAGCCGCCGCCCCGCCCCTCACCACCATGTCTCGCGCACAGAAGGAAGCTGAGCAGCATCGGGGAGGAGTTGAAGATTGAGAGGGAGCACCGCCAACGGCTGGAGGTGCGTGGAGTGCGGCCCCAGGGCGAGGACGGGGCTCGTGCGGACCTCCCCCTGACACGGCTCTCCACCAGGTCCAGATGCTGCAGAGGACCCAGGAGGCCCGGAGCCTAGCCTCCAGCCACTCACAGACGCAGACATACTGAGGGTGGTCTGGGGGGGCCACAGCCCAGCCTGGAAGATGGCTGGCCGCAGTTATCAGCGTCCTTGCACTTTGGGACACGCTGGAAAAGAAAATAAACTCGGCCTGCTGGAGCCCGCGGAGCCCGGTCTGTGGGGGCGGGGCCTCGCGCGGGGCGGGGCCAGGCGGCAGCCCCGCCCCCCAGCCCTCGCATTCCTGGCGGTCTCTCCCGGGCACATCTGGCCAACATGTGGCTCTCATTACCGTTCCCAAGGCCCGCGCCGTGCTATTTTTAGCCACCGGATGGTGGTAGGGAGGGCGTTTTCCGACGCCCGCGCGCCCAGTGCTGGAGCAATGGCGGCCGCTGCCCGCCGGGCTTGATTCCTGCATCCAGCTGTGTGCGGAGGGAGGGCGGGGACCAGCCGCCTGGAGGGCCCGCACCGGCCAGGAAGCCCCCACCCCCTGAGGCTCACAGGGGTGTCCCGCGGGGAGGTGGCTTTGAACGTTCCATTCATTTTCAATTCCATTTTCCACGCACTTTCCCAAGACTCCTCAGGGCCCGCAGGACCTTAGTCTCAGGGCCAGGGTCCCCTGAGGACTGGGGAGGGTGTGTGTGTGTCTGTCCTGCCCGCGTGAGTCCTCGCTGCCTTTCGTAGTGGGTAGTGGGGGGCGCGGGGTCACAGCTACTGTACGGACCTCAGCCCTGTGGGCAGGGGCTCTTTAGGCAGGGAGGGCAGGGCTAACAGAGGGAGAAACTGATTCACTGAGAATGTAACTTTCATTGGTCACTTCTTCCTCGTCCCCTGGGGGATAATGGGGACCCCGCCTCCTGCCCACCCCCCTGGCCTTCTGGCAGGACTGGGGAAGGGTGCCTCCCGGAGGATGAGGGAGCCAGGCCCAAGAGCACCCGGGAAGCCGAGGCCGCGCGGCCTCCATAGCACCGTGGGTGGCAGCAGTCCCAAGGCCCTGGGGCCGCTCAGCGTGTATCTGCAATGTCCAGGCCCAGGGGGCGGTCGTAGTGCATGCGGCCCAGGCAGGTCGCCAGTCAGTAATAGTGCATGCGGCCCAGGGTTCCGGTGGCCGCGGGGCCGGGCCCCAGCGTACCGGTGCCCAGCAGGTCCGGCTGCCCGGTGCGCCAGATCTCCCGCAGGATCCGTTCGCGCTCCTCCAGCCGCTGCGCGCGCTCCAGCTCCTCGGCCGAGGTGAAGACGTTGACGCTGAGCGGCCCGTCCGGCTCCTGGGACAGCTCGGCTCCCGGCAGCGTGTCGTCGGGGCCCAGCCGCGTCACCGTGTCCTCCTCGTCGTCCTCGTCCTCGTCCTCCGCCTCCAGGGTGCTGCTGCGGGGGTCCCGGTGGGGCGGCGGGCCGCGTGGCCGCCGCGGGCGGGGTGCGCAGGAAATGCTGATGACCAGGAGGCACAGGGTCAGCAGCAGGCCGAAACAGACGCCCAGCACGAAGTAGAGGCCGAAGCTCTCGGGGTTAGCTGGGGGGCAGAGGGCAGAGGTCAGGCGGAGGGCCCGGCTCACAGGGACATTAAGA